GTTAGGAAACAAAACTTCCAGAACACGGCCACACAGCCTGGAAGACCCACACCAGCCATCAATACAAAGATATATTTATCAGGTGCTGAACACGCTGTTCTAGCAACCTGTTGTTTTTCAGTAGTGCTCTAATACTAAAATTATGCTTGGGGGTGGGTTATGGGATAATTCAAGCAAAGAGTATATGGCAAAGTAAACAACAGCAAATTAAATAGCAAAGCAGGAAGTTGAAAAATGACCACCTCATTCCCATATTGGTGATTGCAGCAAAGTTTAAAGAACATAGGACATTGCATATTGTTTGAGCCTTAGAACAGAATAGTCTGGAATAGGATCAATTTTAAAAAGTTATGCTAAATGAAAGAACATTTAGAACATCAACGATTCCTATTCCACTAAACATAATTGCTTGGGACAACAGGTGTATATTGATTTAATACTAAGTTTATATTTCTGCATGTATGAGTACTGTTTGTTTACAATTATTAAAAAAGATGCAGAGTATGACAGTGAAATCAATAGAATTAAAATCAGAATTAAGATTAGTAAGATTAAAACTAACCAACATTGAAAACTTGGCTAAATAGATCTGATTTTCCGTAAATTCCCCAGATGACGGCAAGCACGTATCCCTAGAAAGAGCCTTCCATAGTGTTGGAGCCACAAAGGAGAAGGTCCTCTTCCATGTGCCACGTAGCTGAACTTCTGACTCTGGAGGCGATAACAGAAGGGCCTATACTACTGTCTAACCGGATAAATTTGTAGGAGGAGAGATGGTCCTTCAGATAGTCAGGACTAAGCCATATTACAGCAAGAAAAATCCCTTGTAGTAGAGAGAATACTGTGTATATAATATGTCACATGTTTAATTCTAGCTTTTCTAGGCAAGGCTGGAGAAAAACTAAGTGAAACCCTGAAGATGGCAAGACTGAGGTAGTTGGACCTCAGCAATTTGATTTAGTTTCCTATGTTGTTTGTAATACCTGAAGTCTAGTTAGCAAAGATCAATGTAGGAGATATTTGCTATACACCAGTTTCCCCAACCTGGAGTCTTCCCAGCCAACATGACCATTTAGTTAGGCATAATTGTATATTCAGGGTCTTTTTCAGTTTGTTTTAGTATTTGGCTCAGTAGTTTCCCACCAAGAGACAGCAGAATAGGTGTCTGGTGGTTGTACTTTTTTTACATTTCATTGTTTTTTTGTTTATTTGTTAAATTTATTGCTTGATTTGAGGGGACATGAAAGTTCATCCTTGTTGGACTCAACTGCCAGTAAAAGGAATGATTGAACAAGCAGCGAACTCTCACATGCCTTCAAGATGGGACGTGGTGGTGGGGGCTGTAATAGGGATAGATTAGTCTTTCCCAGCCTGGGCACCTTCAGATGTGTGGATTAAATCCCAGTTTCTCAGCACTGGCCATGCTGGAATGGAATTCTGACAGCTGAAGTTCACATGCAGTTCTTCTGGTGCTGAGGCAGATGATATGATAATTTTTTAAACAAAGTTTCAGTACTGTTAGTTTCTGGATGGAAAATTGCCACTTCTCTCTATGCAGACTACTCTGAGATTACCTTGTGTGCATGCTTAATACAGTTCTTAGCAGCTGCCCAGATTTTTGATAAAGGAGTAGTAGTGTACTGTTTCCGGGCACTGCCTTATTTCTAAGGGTAAAAAGAGCAAATGTACCTCACGTTGCGGTAAATAATTATTCAGTCAGGATAAAGAGCATCAAGGTTTATTGTTAGCAGGAATGACATTTTTCTTTTAACTTTGAACACTTTGTCATTTTAAAAACATTTCAGCAGTGTGCAGGGTGAAAAAGAGCAAGATCCATATGTCAGTGGTCTAGGATGGCCAGTGAAGGCTCCAATATCCCAAGCCCTGTGGTGCGTCAGATTGACAGACAGTTTCTGATCTGCAGCATATGCTTGGACCGTTACAAGAATCCCAAAGTGCTCCCATGCCTGCACACTTTTTGTGAAAGGTAAGTTTTTTTTCAGTGTCTTAGCCAACATGTTTTTACATCTGTCTGGATTGTCACATCAATGAATTTCCGGAAGTTTAGATTTACCTTTAAATAACAGTGAATTGTCAATGCAGTGGAAAGGTTTTCCTAAAATTAAAAAAAATAAAAAAAATAAACTAATAAATGCTCCTTGGCTGATTTTAACTCATCTCATTATTCTCTTTTATTATATTTTTATGGTGGCCAATTATCCCTTGGCAGTGATCAGTACATTGACATGAAATAAAGCAAAATTAGTCATTTTCAGTGTTGAGCTGAACTTAGTCTGGGAAGCCAGAGTCAGTCTATTCTATCTTGAAAGTCAGTTCCATTGATAGTAAATTTTGTTCCAAATATTCAGAAATGTAGCCTTAGCAACTGTACTGCGCTTAAAACTTTGTTTATTGTCAGTGTTGCTTTATGTGTCTGGCAGTACTACTGCTATTTTCTGTTAGCAGAGCTGCTCTGCCATAACGTTACATGGGAATTTAATGAATGGCATTTTTCTTGCATTGATTTCCATACCAATAAATCTAAATCTTACCATAGTGAGAATATTGTAATTCTACCTGAAAATAGAAGTAATATTTCCAATTTTTTTGTGTGTTTCATCCTCATCTACAATGTTTGATAGCATTTGCAATTTTTAAACAATGAATATGTAATTTTTAATATAAATTTTATTAAAAGTTTTAAAGATAGGATAAAAAATAACAAAAACTAATATAAAGAAAGAAAAAGGGAAAAGAAAGAAAAGAAGAAACAAAGGTGCAGAAAAAAAGATAAAAAGAAATAGAAGAAGCTTCTGATTTTCTTTGCAGCAAATACAAGTAAAATTACAAAGTTATCTCTTACTCTTTGGTTACAAAAAGAAAATCTCACTTTTTTCTATTATCCAATTTTTTTCCTAACCATCAAAACCACAAATCATAAGTGCATTTTTTTCTGTTTCACACAAAAAGTCTATAAGGGGTTTCTAGTCAGCCATAAATGTAGATATTGTCTTTTCTCTAATCAAGGAAGTCAGTTCAGCCATCTCTGCAAGTTCCATCATCTTCATCAACCATTCATTTTTACTAAATTGTATAATATTTAATAATTTCCTGATGGGATAGATATATTTTGATTTGGAATAAAGCCAGATTGATCCATATGAATAATTTTACCTATAATCATTTTCAGTCGATTAGCTACAGTTTATAGTCCATGTTGAAAAGTGAAATGGGCCCCAGAAGTTGCGAAATTCTGGGAATTTTTATCTGATTTAAGGATCAAAATGATCTTAGACTGTTTCCAAGACTCTGGTAAAGGGTTCCCTTGGGGCAAAGTATTGCATAAAAATAAAAATTCAGGTACTAAAATATCCTTAAATTCTTTATAAAATTCCCCTGACAATCCATCAGGGCCAGGAGATTTTCTATTTTGAATAGCATTGAAAACTTCAGAGAATAATTGAAAACTTCAGAGAATTTTCTTTTTCAAATAGAAAAAGGAAATTCCATAAATTGGATATCTTCTGGAACCAATACTGAGAATGTTAATCTATTTAAAAATTGATTAATTTTTACTGGTGATGGGTTCTTTGAAGAATATAATTGTTGAAAAAAAGGTTAAATTGTTCACTTATACTTTTGGTTTTGGACACAATTTGACCATTGCTGTTTTTAATTGTACTAGTACATTTTTCCTTAGTTTTTTCAATTTGTTTGCCAACATTCTAGAATTTTTATTGTGTTCATAATATTTTTGTTTAGCAGAAATAATCTGAGAGGATATTTTCGGTCTCCAAATCAACTAACTCTTTTATTTGCTAGCTGTTTGTAAATACTATCTATTCCAGTTCTATTATAGTTTGCTAATAAATTGTTAATTTCTAAATAAAGCTTACTTGCCTTTTGTGTTGATGTTTTTTTTATCATACAGCTTTATACAATTTTCTCTTAATACCGTCTTCATAGCATCCCACCTTGTTCTCACTGATGTTTCATTTGTATTATTTTCTTGAAAAAAAATCTCAAAGTTTGAGTTAGTCGTTGCTTTGCTGCTACATTGTATGGCAATATAGGATTAAAATGCCAGTTATAGGTAAATGGAATAATTTCTTCTAATTTAAGTGTAATAATCACTGGACTGTGATCTGATATAAGAATTGGTACAATTTTAACTTGTTGCAGAAAATCTGAAAAAGTTTTAGATATCCATATGTAGTCTATCCTATTATGAAATTTATGTCTACCCAAATAAAATGTATGTGCTTTTGTTACAGGGTTCATAATTACCCATGTATCTATGAATCCATGACTATGCATTAAATGTTGAAGTCTCTTATACATTCCAGTCTGAAGTTTTAATGCAACAGTATTAAAGTCTCTTCTGTTATAAAATTGTCTATGTTACTTTTTTTTACTCTTCATAATCTTTTGTAGGAAACCAATCTGACACTAATTAGGAGCCTACAGTTGGGTGAAAAAGAAAGTACACCCTCTTTGAGTTCTATGGTTTTACGTATG